ATGCCCTTGTCTACCCAAGAAGATTCAAGAATAAAGCGAAATCAGAAAATAATAGACTCACGCCCACATGAAAACATAAACACACGGGACATTAGCCTTCTAAAACCGCCTCTCCTGCGTTTCGCCTACGTAGAGGTCCTGGTGAAGTCAGAGATGACGTCAGAGGCAATCCAGCAGATGATTTCATGGGCGGTAGTGATGCTGATGGTAGGTGATGGTGGTGGAGGAGACGGTGGTGGTGATGATGATGACAAATGCGTGATAGGAAAGGGGGTATTGTGTAAATATTCTTATACATCTACGAGTATCTTTACATATCTATCCGTTTTTCTGTCTGTCCATCTATCTATCCATCCATCTATCTATCTATCTACAACTAACTCTGTCTATGTACTTATCTGATAACCCATTTATCTATTTGTCTAGCTGTTTGTATGCTTGCGTCATTTTTTTTTTGTTTGTTTGTTTGCGTCTAATGCAGATTGGCTACTAGGCAAGGAAAGTAAAAGAGGAATATGTCCTAGCGTGCACTTAAATGTGATTGCGTGTATGATCCAGCTTCCACTTTCTGATGACCGCCTCTCCGCGTGCCTCTCTCTCACATTTCTAACTCAGTCTGGCTTTTAATGCATACTGTATAGACGTCTAACTCTTGTGCTTGGGATCCTTACTTTGTTTTGCCACGGTCTTGGATATCTAGGACTGCGTTTGGTTGTTTGGTTGGTTGTTTGATTGTGTGTGTGTGTGTGTGTGTGTGTGTGTGTGTGTGTGTGTGTGTGTGTGTGTGTGTGTGTGTGTGTCTGGGTTTGCTTCCTGTATCTAATCGATGCTTTCATCTATACCTGGCCCTATGGGTATTCCTAGTCCATCTCCGGCCCGTTGCTTTAAGGAAATATTTGTTTGCTTTTGAAAACTGCCCACAGGAACACGCACGTGAAAGAGCCAATATCTGGACGGGAAAAAGTGCTGACGGCTGAAGTGAAGTGTTTGCCTTCTTTGTGTCTCTACAGCACTCGGAGGCCCCGTCCTGAGCGATCCCTCTGCCCCGCCCGTCCCTCTGGCCTTCCCTACCTGGGGGAACCTCTTTTCCCCGGTTCCTGTCCCTTTTCTTTTTCGCGTCTTTTTCTTGTTTCCTGTCTCTTCTTTTGTTCTGGGGTTATTTGTCTCTCTATGTCTGAATGTCTCTGTCTCTGTCTGTTTGTCTGTCTGTCAGTCTGTCTCTCTCTCTCTCAATCTCTCTCTCTTTCTCTTTCTCTCTCTCTCTCTCTCTCTCTCTATCTATCTATCTATCTATCTATCTATCTATCTCTCTCTCTCACACACACACACACACACACACACACACGCACGCACGCACGCACGCACACACACACACACACACACACACACACACACACACACACACACACACACACACACACACACACGCACACACACATCCTAACTCGCCTCTTGCTTTTTCTCTCCCTGTCATTTCTCCTTCATTTCTTCTTTCCTCCCTCCTTCTCGCCCCTCCCTACATCCCTTATTCTCCCTCTTCCTCTCCCGTCATTATCCACCCTCCCGTCACCCCCCCCTCCTAACCCTACCCCACCCAAGCCCATGTTTACACTTCCAACTTCCTTTTACGTAATCTCGCCACACGCGCCATGGCCGGCCTCCCGTCCTCTGAGCCTCACGTCATCAGCAGGCTACCGTGTTCCATCCCTCACCCTCGCCTTGCTTACGATGGCCATCTCGCTGAATTATGTATAAGGACGTCTAAGAGGGTGTGAGGATGGAAGACCCTGTGGAGATGGAAGTGAGAGTCGGACATTATCTCGGGCCTTTGTTACCAGTCGTTTAGATGTTCACTTTATTGATTTATTTTTGTTTTTTGTTTTCATTCACTGTTGGGTCTTTGCCAAAGGTTCATCGACCCGTACTTGGGATATTTATTTTTTTCCTGCTTTCTATTGGAAGAGTAATGAGTTCTTGATTTCTCAAGTGGATTCTTCTCCCTCCCTCCCTCCCCCCCCCCTCCTTCTAAGCGTCTAGGAAGATGCCATCGACCGAAGAAGCAGGTTCGATGTCTTTTGTTTTTCGTTTTTTTTCAAACTCTTTTGAGTCCTATCCGAACCTTTTGTTACGTTAAATACAAGCACTTTAAAACTTTCCAGGCTATAAACTCCTCGGAAAAAAATCTTGCCGTCCAAGATTGGAAATCCCTTTCTCAATGACCCCCATTTTGTAGTCACAAAAACAATTAGAAATATGAAAGGGATAAAGATTTTACTTAAACTCTACGGTATTGGCCTCCCGGCTTCACATTCAAGAGCCGTATGGTAACTTTTGAACACGTGCATTATTTTATTTTTTTTCCGAAGTTTTTTTTTTTTTCTAATCGACTAAGATGACAATATATGTGGATAAAGAAAATATGGGCCGAAAATTTCTCGCGTACCTCCAAAAATATATAAACATTCTCATAGTAGGATTTGCCCATTAAGGCAGTATTTCC